AATTGAAAAAGTTTACTTTTTTTTTTGTTTTTCAGATATTAAAATTCCCGCCTTCGTATTTCTGAGCTCAAAAAGGATGATCTGGTTTGGCTCTTTGGCTTCGCGGGCTGAATGCGAGCTGTTCGTGAACAAAGAATCGTTTTGACAATTCTAATCATATAACAATAAGATGTTAAGGATTATGATCAGATTTAAAACATCATTTGAATGTAAATTAATAATTTTATTTTATTTTCTTTATTAATACTTTTAATTGATTATAAATCTTTGTAGTCTTGTAATCAATTATTTTTTAAAAAATATCACTCATCAAAGATATATATATATACTTGACGATTCATTAACTTAGCGAACGAGCCGAACACGAGCTGTTCGCAAACAACGAGTCGTTTTAACAGTCCTAATTATAACCAACTATGATTGGAATGTTATTTGATATGTATATAAATTTCATAATATGCAATTTTTCCATAACATCAGCTTATATCAATAATTATTTCATTCAATATCCAAACCACTAGGCTACAATATTATAACGGCATTTTTCTATCAAAACAAAATTTTGACAAAAAAATTAAGAGGGAATTTATGTACATAACATTGAACTTCTATGTATTTATATGTCTGACCCCTAAACTTTACTTTTTTCACACTATCCTTATCTTCCATATCACATAAAAAATGCCACTATATTAACTTAAAAAAAATGAAATATACATTTTCCTACATAGGTAAAAGGGCATATACATAAAAATTGAAGCTTAGATCTTAGATATGTAAATACATAGAAATTGAGGGGTATGTAAGTAAATCTGCCAATTATAAAATAGATCTTAGTCCTTGTGGTGTGGTATGGTATGTTACCCTTGTCAGAAATGTCTTTTAAATTTTTTTTTAATTCTGACTGTAGGGAGGGCGTACCAATTGTTGGGCTAATCATTAGCCCTCTCCTTAAATCTCTTACATCTTTTACTTGTCCTCATTTTTTTAATAAAACCCCTCTCTCTCTCTCTCTCTCTCTCTCTCTCTCTCTCTCTCTAAAAGTGTTCCTCCTTAGGGCTATCAAAAACGGCTCGTTGGCCGCGAATAGCTCGTGTTCTGTTCGTTAAGAAGCTCGTGTTCGGCTCGTTCGCTCGCCTCAGTAAGAAGCTCGTATCCGGCTCGTCCGCTAAGTTAGCGAGCCGAACAAGATCCAAAATTTGTCGTTCGTCTTCGGCTCGAAATACTACCAATCAATTATATATATATGTATATATATATATCTTTGATGAGTCGTATTTTTAAAAAAACTAATTGACTACAAGGCTACAAAGATTTATAATCAATTAAAAGTATTAATGAAGAAAAAGGAATAAAAATTGTTTAATCAGATTCAAATTATGTTTTAAATTTTGCTACAATCATTAACATATTATGGCTACGTGATTAGAGTTGTCAAAATGACTATTTGTTCGTAAACGGCTCGTGTTCGGCTCGAAATATAAACGAGCCGAACACGAGCTAAGTCTGGCTCGCTCATGTTCAGCTCGTTTACACCCCTATTTAAAACACTAAAATGCCAAATATAAAAAATTAGGTGTGAAGAAATGTAAATACGTAAGAATTGCTTGGCAGTAAAGTATGTCATAAATATGTGTAATAAATGACCCATACGATTCCCACTAATCTATATACAATGACGAAATTAATATAAAGCACAACAAAATTCCGTAGTTAAGGTCGATGAATACTTAATTTAACAAGGATTAAATTAACACGCCATCTACATTAAACCTCGATCGATAAAGATTTAGGGGCATTTACATACATACCACCTGATTCCTATGTATTTACATATCTAACAACCAAACATTGGGTTTTTTTTTTTTTTAACATTTATACCACCCAAATCTTTCATGTCACATAAAAACACCACCATTTTAATTTGAAAACAGAAATACACCTTTTTCATTGCATGGATAAAGTGACATGCAAGTAAAAATTGAAGTTTTGAGTGTTACATATGTAAATACATAGGAATTGAGTGGCGTGTATGTAAGTCTTTCAAAACAAAAAGAGTTTTTTTTTACCTATGAGCTGTATGATTCACAAAAACAAGTCAATCTAACCCGACCCTAACCAGTTCGATCGCATCGAATCACTTGCTCAAAAGGCCAACTTTTATCGCGCCTTTGATTGCAAATTGAAGTTGGGATATTTACATACATAAGTTTTTTTTTTCAATAAAATATTTTGATTTTAAATAATTAATTGTTATCTGTGTTGCTCAGTGACTTCAAGTGTTGGTTTTTTTTTTTTTTTTTTTTCAATAAAATATTTTGGTTTTAAATAATTAATTGTTATCTATGTGTTGCTCAGTGACTTCAAGTGTTGGTTTTTTTTTTTGTGAGATAAGGTGGCATTTTATTTTTATCTTAAATTTAGTACTCATCTACCTCCAAGCAATTGATCTCCACCTTTGTCACACCTTTACATACATGCTAAGCATCATTTAAAACCAATCTAAGATCAACCACCACTCAAAGTAATCATTAAATCAACTTTAAAATCTCACCTATAATTATCAACCAAGCTTGTGAAGATTAGGACCTAGTCTTTTTTGTTACTTCTTAGCACTTAACAAAAACTTTATCAAACTAAAGCATCTGCTATAGATCATTTTTACAAATCCTAATCTTTTTTTCAAAGACATTTTTTTATTATCTTTATGAGTCTTATGATTAATCATTTGATTTGATGATAACAAATGTATGATAGGATAATCTAATATATTGTTTAAGAGTTTCACGCATACAAACAATTCAGAAAAAAATAAATTAAGTACAACTAACTTTGAGAAATTTACACTACATTTGGTTTGTCATAGAGCTCCCATATGGAGGCTCTGAAGTACATGATTTGAAATTAATAGATTACATGAAAAATATAATAATAAAGTTATGTTTTTTCTCTTATTAAACAAAGGATAATCTATATTTTTTTTTATTTTTTTTTCTATACCTGTATTTTGAGAGCCATAATATATATTTTTTTTTCTATACCTGTATTTTGAGAGCCATAAGGACAAGTCCCTTAAATTTTGATTCATAAGACTCATTCCACATGCCAGCCCACCCATTTATCCAAAGCTCCAACTAAATGAAAAAATAATTTATTTTAAAATACACAAAATTATTTATATGCAAAATAAATGAAAAACTCAAAATCTTTACTTAAAGAAAATTTAAATTTCTCTAAATGATGATTTGAAAGAAGTTCATGATAATACCTCACTTTTATATGAAAATTTAAAGTTCACAAATATACTTCAAATTAGTATGATATAATGTCTAATATAATGAAAAATAAATTGAGAATTAAAGAAGAAAGAGTTGTTATTAAATACATTATGTCAAAATGAAAAAAGGTGAAAGTTAGTGAAGATGAACAAAATCTAATAAATTACATCTCAACTTATGCCATCATCAGAGCTAGTCTTAAGAATGAACCACATCCTAAATATTTTTATGTTAATTGGGTCAACCATCATTTTTTCACATCACAAGTAGAAGTCTAATTCCTATAACGATTTGTAGTGATGAAGATAAATAAGTGATGTCTTATTATTGACATCTTTCATATCTTGTTAGGTTGAATTTGCTTTTATTTAGTAAGAGTGATCCAAAATATCCAAAAAAAAAACTTATATCTTTAATATATTAATAAGATTATTAAATTTACTCTCATAAACCTATGAGAAGACACCACCATTGCATCTCTTAAAACTAACTCAAATCTATAACCCAAATCATCTTTAAAGAAAAGTAACAAGTTTTAACTAGTTATGTTAGATAACTTTAATATTGATGATTTTGATCTTAATTATATCATTTATAATCATCTTTTTAATGCAACATCAACAATAAAAACTATCAAAATTAAAATCATAAAGAAGAAATTTCTTAATGTAACATCATAATAAAAATTATCAAACTTGAAATAATAAAGAAGGAATCGCATAATATATTCTCCTTACACCAAGTACATGAGAAAAAAATACATATAATTATTTTGATTCACATAATTATTGTGATATCTTCTCTTCTTTATTAGTTTAGTAATATTACACTTGATGAACTTATTAATAAGTAATCCCTCTTAGATAAATAAAATATTCCATCAAGTTAGTCTTAAGTTCATAACTTATAACCCTTCCCATAATAAGATGAATTTTACTAAGCTTACCAAGCTCAAAAAATAATTTTAAATTTTACTTAGAGTGGGATTTATGTAAGAAAATATTAGCTCTAACATAGTTTCAATCTTCTTAATTCCAATAAAGTAGCACCTCAAATTCGTGTACTGATAATTAGGTTATTAACAAAATCACTAATAAGTATACATTTCTTATTTCTCAA